GAAGGGAAGGGAAGGGAAGGGAAGGGAAGGGAAGGGAAGGGAAGGAAGGGAAGGGAAGGGAAGGGAAGGGAAGGGAAGGAAGGGAAGGGAAGGGAAGGGAAGGGAAGGGAAGGGAAGGGAAGGGAAGGGAAGGGAAGGAGGGAAGGGAAGGGAAGGGAAGGGAAGGGAAGGGAAGGGAAGGGAAGGGAAGGGAAGGGAAGGGAAGGAAGGGAAGGGAAGGGAAGGGAAGGGAAGGGAAGGGAAGGGAAGGGAAGGGAAGGGAAGGGAAGACTATTTAGTGATTAGTTACAACCCTGAATACATTTGTGTTAGGATGGCAAGAAATTGCAATAACAACTACTAGTTGGTCTACAACTAACAATGATACCATAATTTCATTTTTCACTTTAATTACAAGAAATTTCACAATTTCTTAAATGGTCATCAAACTTCAGATATATTTTGTTTTCCCTTGTTCAGTATGCTTTGGAGAATAATAGATAAATTTTGTTTATACAGAACAGAAGGAAGATAAGCCTGAATCTCAAGATCAGACCAGGTCACTCAGAATTTTGTCCAGATGAAATCTGACGACCTTCATGGTGAATGCAGCATGACCTCTCCAGATCTCTGCTGTACTGCTGGACTGTCCTATTTAGGAAAATATTTCTCCTGATAGGTAGTCTAAACCTGTGCTGTCATAGTTTATGTCCATCATCTCTTGGTCTCCTGCTCTAAACACACAGCTGCAAGGAACCTAACTGCAGCTCCTTGATATTCTTTTCGGAGATGCTGATGGTAAGTGTGTCTAAAACCATCTCTTCTCCAGGCCAAAAAAGTCCTGGTACTATAGTGTGTCCATGAAGAAGGGGATCTTCTCCAGTGCCTGTTCATTTTCTTTGCCCTCCACAGAACTATGTCCTGTTTATCAGTGTCAATCTGTGTCAATCAAGCTGGAGATTGCATCTAGATTTGGTCTAGTGAGCACTGTGTAGAAGGAAATAACCAACCCTCATAACCTATGGGACTTGTTCCTTTTCATACACTTTCAAGATGCTCTTGGGTTTCCTTATTACCAGAGCACAGTATTAGGTCATGCTCAGTGTACTGTTTTCATTTTAATAATGAGAAAAAAAACCCCTCAAATTAATATAAATGTGGTGAATAATGTAATTCAAAGGATGGTTGAACTTCAGTGATAAAGATCAATTTTTTATGTGTACATGTGACTGCATATGTACCTTATCATGCTGTCCTATTTAGAAATGGCAAATGAATGCAATATTACATTAAATGGTCCATCTGCCTGAAAAGCAATAACTTTGGATCTTATATTCTGGAAATTTTGAAGGTATTTTGTCCTGAGAATACTCTTCAAATCGGAAGGCTGTTGAATGTTACATGAGTTGCAATAATTAAATATCAGCTCTGTCTGGAATATTTTAAATGCAATATATCAAAAGAAACATATCCTAAAATCACACTTTGAAAGGTGCATCTTAGCATCTTTCAGGTTTGGCATGATATTGAATAATTTTTTTACTTATTTTTAAAACAATTTGACTTTTCCTGTCTCAATCAAAAATAATATAAAATAAAGTATGTAAAGCCACAAATTAAAAACTGTTTTAATGATCTAGATTCTGTTAAAAGCCAAATTACTTTCCAGCTCTTAGTACTCCATGGAAATTATTAAACTGCAGGAACAACAGAAAACAACACCATGAAGTGTTCTAATGTGAGTGACAATAAGGTCAAAGCCCATTTGAAGAAAATTCTCATTTTAGATTCCATGCCACTGAGTGAGAACGAAGAGATTTCTAATTTTATATTTTGTCTGTGTTTATATTTCTAGGTCTACATGCACTTATTAAGTGTATTTGTAGTATATGTATGTAGTTCACTGTGTGGTAACTGTTCATTGTTTTCATAATCTTAAATAAAAGATAAAGTAGAAAGGATAAGTATGATAAAAATACGCACAAGATTCTTGATATAAACAGAAAATATTAACAGTTTAATTTCTATAAAGAAACCTATTGTACTCAGTGTGCTCAGGGTTAATACAGAAGGTTTTTACCTAACCACTACACAGCAGTCAAATCTCATCACCTTCAGCAGGAATAATTTATGGTTTAATCTTACATGCAGGCGTATTAAATTAGTATTACTCATCAGAACTCACTTATTAATAAAACAAGCTGAATTAGTCACCAGAGAATCATATTTGGAAATTCAATGACAATTTTACATTTTTAATAAAGGCTCAGAAATATTATTGCAGAGCAGGTGGTATGAAGAAATGTGGTCAAATTTGACATTCATTAATAATTGAAGTGTGGAACGTGACAGAGGTGAAAATTGATATTGATTTTTTTCCCCTCTAATATTTGGATGAGTTCTGAAAAGTAAATAAAATGAGATAACAAGACATATCAAGTCACCCTGATTTCTTTGATCACCTCTCCCTGTATGCACACATATATATCACTATTTTCCTTATCATGTTTTTGAATAATTCAACATCCATAGTCTTTCCAGTTCAATGCATTATAAAACATGCTCCAGCTGAGTTTCAATCATATTAGACTGAAAGCTGAATTTTTTATGAAGGATTATTTAAAACAAAATGTGTCTTGGGCCCTACAGTCTCTGAAACCAAACAATCCTGAGAGTTCAGTGAAGAAATGTCAACACTGTGGAGAATTTTTCTATTCAAAAAATTGAAGGAATCCTGTTTGATGTATATTAACCATATCAATATTAACAAACTTTTGCTGGATTTCAGAAGTGATATGACAGCAGCAGTACTACTAGGCTTGTATTTTAACTAGATGTGAAAGCTCCAAAATACTTGTACTCACGCTGAACTTGACCTGCCTTTGGGACAGCTGTAGCAGCACTCCCACTGATTTCAGTAATGCTAATTTTCAGGCTGAGTTGAAGCTAGACACTTTGGCCTCTTTGGACTCTAAGCATGAAAGGATGGCCACCAGCCTCTGCTGACCAATATTCAGCACACTGTAGGCATCTTCATGGAGTATATTCTGAGGGATTTTTGTGGCTATTAGAGGTCTCAAGTATATTTTATGGTGCATGGATTTTATTTCATCATTCCACACCTCCTTCTGTCCTCACACAGGTTTGTGGTCAAGATCATCTTTACTAGAAGAAGATCTTTACTTGGTTCAAGATCTTCATCCACATGAATATCTAGTTCCATTTTTTTAGCCCGTACTAGTCATACCAATAGGAGAAGCTGACTGAAAAAGTTGGAGTCTTCCACTTCTGTGTGTTTACAAAAGTAAATTTCTTGCTTCTGAAGAAATTACTCTAGTTACATACTCTGCCTATAGGTGAAAATGTTATTGTAAAAAATAAAAGAAAAAAATCACTTTCTCCAATGTTTACTGTATAGGGTACTTCAGACTCAGTCCGACTTCCATTTGAGACTTTAAAATAGCCATGTGCATATCTACACTTCAGACTCTTTGCAATATCACTCTTTCTTTTGCACTATCTCCTACAAGTTTTTGTAGAACTGCAAGACAATCCTGTTCTCATAGACTTTATCAGAGTAATTTTCTGGATTTTATGCTATACAAATTACCTAAATAATCAGCCCACAGGTGGTTTTCAATAGATATAATAATTGAAATCTATTTGAATAGATTTAATAGATTTTAATAGATTTAATAATTGAAATCTATATTGGCAGAATAATTTCTCTAGAGTTAATCTTTGAGGTGAGAGGAGATCAAAGAGTGTACTCATATATTGACTGCAAAAAAACTAAAGCGGCTAAAAAATGACAAAGAAGCAGTACATTCAGAAAATAAATTAACAATCAAAAATTAAGGGAGGAAGTAGAAAAGCCTCAAAAATATGAGGCAGAAAATATGTCAACTCATTAGATTTTGTTTTTTTTTTTTTTTAAGGATGCTTTCATATGTTGAGATTAACATCTCTCCTCAAAGATATTGAGCACAAATAATATTGATTGACTGCAGTTATTTTATGCTCTTGTGCCTTCTGTCTACTGCAGAACAAGTAACTGTTTGAAGATCCAGTTTTCTGTTAACAAAGCTCTAGGTTGATGCTCTAAGTCTCATTTTTTTAGAATGAATTTATATTGACTTCAATAGCCAGCATTAATGAAATCTAATCAAATAACTGAAAACATATTCCACAAGGTATTTTCCTTTAATTAGTGAGTATTACAGAAAATATGAGATGGCTGAGAATTTAAAATATAATAACACATTATTCTTATTCATTATTGGTTTTATTTATTATATCTTTCAAATATTAATGTTGGAAACATAATTCCAAACTGTGACCTGTGAGCTATTTGGAATCTGAGTTCCATTTCCTTGGTTTTTTAATTATTTTATTATGTGTAGGTTTTCACCACAAAAATGTATGATAATAACAAATGTTGCTGTTTTCATTAAAATTAGAAGATAGCTTAATTGGCAACAGTGTGCTACTGGGCAGCTTAAATTGTTCTTATGTGACAGACATGGTGAAAATAGGAAAATATTCCCTCATGCAAAATCTGCATTTAGTTGTTCAACAAAAAGATGGAAATTGAAGTATTTGTCTGTGACAGCTATCAACTTCAGGTATGGTCTGCTACCAGCAAAAGCAGATTTGATAAGTGTAAGGAAAAGAAAACTGCAAAGAAGTGAAAGAACATGATTTAAGTTGATTGATCAAATTATGAAGAAAATATGTGTCCTTAGGTCATCAGTGCACTATAGGCTGCAATGGTTTTCTTCTTCACATAGACAATTCTTACTGAGCCAAAAATGCCCTAAGTACAAAGTATTTCTCATCAATCACCTGAAGGGCTGAACACTAAAAAATAGTGACCTTTTTATACACCCCTCAGATCAAAATCCCATAATTTTGATTGTATTCTTTTTGAAACCATTTGGGAAAAAAACATATGGTTTTCTCTCTTTAGTTTTGATAGCTTCCCCTACACATTTCCCCATCCCCACCTCCCTTGTACATACCTGGAATTCGAGGAGGAATTTCAGGTCTTCTCATACTTCTATGACCCATGTTTCACGGGGTGATGTTAAGTCAGAGATCACAGCTGTACTTTTGGAGGGTCTCTTTGTTCTGTGTTCTTCTTAGGAAACAAAAATATCAACAGTTTAAGTATGTAGTTAGTAGAAAAGTTATGAAGACAACTCCTTTTACTGAAAGGAGTTTTACCCTGTTGCAACATTTTCCTTTCTTCTGACAACATTCTTAATACAAATATGAAAACAAACAGGGACCTCAGTATTCTTCAGAATACTTTGCTGTAATGTAAAGTGTTTCATCCTTCTTATCCTTGATATATTGTTAATTTTGTCCAGCATTACACGGCATGTGTTACAAATCACACACAGGTTTATAAGCATGTATGTAAGACAGACATAGAAAAAACTGTGGGACACTTCTCAATACCTCAAGTAATTATTTCCTGTTACAAGTCCATAATAGATGGATATCTGTCTCAAGATCTGAAAAATTCTACATTTTCATCTGGGAAAACATATATTTATTACCTTCATTGCTACTAATGTTGAAGCAGGCATCAAAATCTGGGTGATATTCTTTTGAAACCATGGCACCTGTAATTTCTCTCTCTTTGCTGAACAATTAACTTATAAAGCTTATAAAGCTTATAAACTGCCCTGAATTGCCAGCTTGTATCTGTACCAGCCCACTGAACCTGAACTTTCTTGTAATGCCTCAGGCTATAGTTTTTTGAAACTCCTAGAAAACAAGTCACAAATTTTATTTGCAATGATTTTGTGCAACAAAGGTTCCCTCTTCCTTATTTTAAACCTTGAACTCAGACCTCTTACTGTAGCCACACTTATTTTTTTTTTGCCTGGTTCATTCATGCCTTAATTCATTCACTTGTGGTTAAAAATTACTGTTCTTAGGAGTTAATGCACTATCCAAAGAGAGATTAAAATGAGTAGTCTAGAAGTGATAACTAGCTTTCTGCCTGTCTTGAACCCCCTATTTACATAAAAGGTTGGTTACTTCTCCCTGATATATCAAGGGATCTGACCCCTATCCCATTTTTTCCCCATTATTACAAGAAGATTACTTAATTAAAGAAATTACTTAGTCAACTATCAAGATTTAAAAATACATCTATTTTCTTATTTCAAGCATAGAAAGAAAGGTGGGGAGCTTAGTCAGAAAACGTCCTGACAAGAGATAGAGATACAGTTACAGTTATTTAATTCTTCATGTGTTACATTGCTTGCTTTGCTACTGATACCATTCCACTGATTTCTACACTGCTGAGCCAGAAAATGGATGACAAGTTTGTACTTCTGTATAAAAAAAAAAAAAAAAAAAAAAAAAATTCAGGAATTTTGTGACATATGACAGAATATAAGTGAGCAAAGCAATAACTTAAATTTTCATTGCTAGGGAGACCTATATCAAACGTTATGGAAAACTGTGACTATCAATTCTAGTTTTCTGGATCCAGAACCTATCAGTGCCTATTATTAAAGGATTGTGGAGGCATGACCCTGAAATAGTGCACTTGCTATTAGGTTGTCAATATTGGCATTCAGCCTCTAAGGATCTTAAGATCTTCAGCAAACAGTGAACATAGTCATTGGAGTCTGTCAGAGTTCATGCTCTTTTGGTCAGTATTTGAGGAGACAGTGTATTTCTGTGTGCTGGACATGACATTAAAGCCAAATTTTGGGCACCTGATTCTGGAGAGAAAATACCAAATTGATGGAGAATGAACAATTGGACAGATTATTTACCTCATAAGAGACAAGAAGTCAATCTTTAGCCAAAAGTTGTAGGAAATTAATTCTTCTTAAATGAGTAGCCAAATATACAATGTGGTTTGGAACAACCCAGAGATCACTGAATATACAAAAAATACAGAAAAGCAGATTGCTTTCTTGAATTTAAGTTTTTTTCTTTTAGACAAGGAGAAAAAATGTATCCACACCATTGCAAAATGGGCAAAGTATTATACTACTTGATTTTAAAAAATATTGCTTAGTAATATGTAGTTAATTATTTATTTGGAAAATATTTTCTGAAAGGGAAATTAGAGGTTGCCATTACAATCTGGTAGGGGATAAATGACCATTTTTATCTCAACTTAGTGGTGACACAAAAGGCTCACTGACTTCTCTTTTTTAATTATGACAAAGATTAGAAAGCAATAAACTCTAAAATACTGAAATTAAAATACAAAATTGTACATGCATTACTGGTGCCCATATTTTTATGACTCCTATGAGAGCAGTAACTTCACTTTTATTTTATATCAGTTAACTTGCTTAGGTCATATTAAAAAGTAAACATCCTTAGTGTAGTCAAAGCTGCTGATTCTGGATTTCTTTGTATTCATGATGCAAAGACCTGAATTAAAGGTGTTAGGTTGATGTGAACTTGTACACAATATCTTTTTGTTTCATTTCTTACATAACATTCCTTGTTCATCTTCTGATGTCAAACAGACATTTAGCACCAACAACATTCAGTGGTAAGGAAAACCACAGAAAAAAATCACAGAATACCTGAATATCCTATGCTCTTTACTTCTACTGCTCATTCTGCTGACTTGTGGAAAGAAACATGTGAAGTAGCTTGCCTGACTATTGGTTATTATCTCAGGATAATAACCAACACAGAGATTGGAAAACAATCTTTTATAACTTGTCTGTGGCCTAGACAGTGACTTACATTTCACAAGAGAGGTTCTGCCTGTCTTCATGTCTAGAAATACCTGCACGACTATGTGCGGGACTTTCTCCTAGCTGTCCTCACCTAAAATGGGAGCAATAGTTACTCTTTCTAACAGAGTTTTGTGTCTCAAATGTATCAGTGTAGGTAGCCACTACGTTCATATTATTGTAACAAGGAGAAGCAATGCTGCCAATATCCCATCACTCCTGCTAAAAATTGTACTAAACAAGAAAGATAATACACAAAAAATAAGTAATTAAAAAAAAAATTTACAGAAAATACTGTTAAAATGAGGGGGATAAATGGTGAAGGATAGAGAAATAGTTAAAATATTATTTTGGGGTCTTGCTTGCTTTTATTTTAAATTAATTTTACCTAGTCTAATAGTCGTATCCATTTACAGGGCTCTGTGTGAAAATAATGGACAGGTCAGGACAATATATTCCTGGAATATATATGAAAAAATATACACAGAACATCTTTTCTACATAAATTCTTGTTCTCTATAATTTATCAAATGCTGTGTGGTCTGTACTAAGATCATATATTACGAACAGTGAGATGTTTTTTTCGCTTCAGGTGAGTACTTGCTTATTTGTCCTACTCCAAATTCACTCTAGCTACACATGTTTCTTGTTACTTTATTGCACTTACTTAAAAATGCTATTAGTGTAACTCTATACAGTCCTTACTTTCACTTCTTGTCCCAGTAAATGAAAACAAAATATACATATCCATACATTTGCAGTTACATTCAATATATGCATTATGTACATTATTAATCACCATTAGAGATAAACGTATTATAACATCTTAGTTTTCAATGTAGATCTAACAGACCTCTGCACTCTTTTATAGCTGAAGGCATATATACAGCTTCCTGGTAAGAACTTCTTTCAAAGCATCAGTGGTCCTCCCAGTATTGTTTCTATTCTCCTGATGGATGCAAGCAGAAGTTTTTTGCCTTTCTCTAAATTAAACCTGGTCATTATTTTCCTTCTCTTTTTTTAGACCACCAAGTGGTACAAGGACATTCCTTCTTACTCTTTGTGTATTTCTTTGAGAGTTGGCTATAACTGAGTTCTGGTGTAACTTTTAGGCATTCTTCTCTTCTACCCAGTCTAACATATGGAGAGAACCTTGCCTTTCTCTTTCTGACATCAATCTGTCCTTGAAGTCTTGATTTCTCAGTCATGTATTTCTAGCTTGTGCTACCAAATGAGGCTTGTGGGAATCCAGGGCTTCCCTCTGGCTGCCCTGGCAGGCCTGGGACCCTGGCAGTGGGTCAGGAACCCCCCTGGATAGAGCCCCGGGAGACACTGTCTGTGATCTCTGTCCATGGAAAAGAGTTTTCAATCTTACAGGATGAATTACAAGCTTTGAGTGTTTGATAAGAATAATAATTAAGTGTGACACGGGTGCAAAAGTAAAATTTTAGATTTCTAGATTAGGGGTTCAGAGGGGACAAGATGGAGGAATTGGGTGTGTCTTGTCCTTTTCCTCCTTCTTCATGCCCTCCATGTTTCACTGTAGTGTTGGCATTTTTCTATTGGTTTAGGCTGGGGACACGCTGTTTAACGTAGATGATAGATATTGGCACATTATTGTAAATATAGCACATGTAGTTTCTGGTATATAATGTTTGTACCATCCCACTGAGGGGCAGAGCCCCACACACTGCCCTGCAGGATAGACCTGAGGCAGGGCAGCAGAACATGTTATAGATAAGCAAGAATAAACAACCTTGAAAACAGCACAGACGAATTATGGCTTCTTCTTTGGCAACGGGGCAGAAAGACAGAGACTTTCTACAATCTCGGAATCACCAATACCCTCAGATTCCGACAAGGCTATGATATCTCTTTTTGGCATTGCAATTGGCAGAAACAACCAAGCACAGGACTAAACAATTAATCTCTTCAGTCCTTCCTAGGCCACAGATCTTTAGCTCTTTTTCAACAGTTTTTCCCGTGAAAACTGTTAGCTCAAGAAATAGAATATGTCTGGAGAAAAGCACATGGTCAAGAAAGGGTAGGAATAATATATCCAAACCTCTTGAATTCTCTTGACTGTCTAGTCACAATCATTTAAACACTTTAACATTCTACCTCTTACCAAAGCCAAATATTCCTTTCTGCAGATAAGACTTTATACCTAGAGACTCTGAAGGACTACTTACACTCCTTAATCCTTGTCAAAAATGGTTTCTGCCTAATCTACATTAAATTGGTATTTATCTCAGAAATAGGTCAGAAATAGTGTCTTTGTTTGCGTGCCTTGGAGCTGATTAATATTTCTACCTTTATTTCTTGGAAGGTATGCGTTCACCCTTGAAATGAAACACTGCATCTTCCTACTCCTTGAAGGTGCTTGCTTCTTCTCAGACAAGAGAAGGCAAGAAAATTTTTGTTGTCTAATTTTGCTGTTTGTAGTTTCCTTTCTCAACCTAAAAAGACTAAAAAAGTACATATGGTGCATGTTTCAGAAAAAAAGGAGGAGATATTGACATTCGGATATTCTTCTATTTAACAATTAAGCACTGAGTAATTCTAGATGTCACTATGATTATCAGCGTGTAGGCTACCAAGAGCATCATGTCATGCATCATATTTTATGTTGCAAATAGTATTGCTAAAACAAGAAGATTTTTGTTTTATTTGGTATGCCTTCCTCTCTTTAAGTTCTTTATTTTAACACTGTTGTCACTTTACTATTGCAAGTCACATATTATCAAGCAGATCTACTGTATGAATGTGCCAAGACAATTAAGTTCATTAACTTTTTATTCTTTCCAGATTAACAAACGAAGGGAGTAAGAAATGAAAAATGAATTGTAATGTTGTTCGCACTTCCTTACACTATGCAGAAATTGAAATGAAGCAGTGAAAATAATGGATCATGTTGTTCTGATAAAGTGTAGTTGGCTATGCAAATCTGTGTACATTAATTCTTGTTTCAAGTCAGTGGTTAATGTGCTTCAGTGTACCACTAGTGATGTTAGTGGTCTTAGCTCTTACCGCCTAGCTAATATTTCGTTTGGTGTTTTCAAAAGTCTACACTATGGATTCTAGTATAGAAAGACTGTTCATATATCTCCAGGACTGTAGGTAATTTGTGATTATAATGGGCATGCATGGCACTGTTTTCTTTTTATCTCCCCTGCTCCCCACTGCTGCTAGAAAGTGGATGTGTGATAATGACTCCGTAAAGACATTGGCCAAATGAAAATTTGGCTGATGACTCTGAGGACCTTATACTGTTGTATACAGTACACAATGTTATTTGCAGAAATACTTTTTCACATATAACAGGAAGTCAGTAATTGTAATTCTGACTTGCACTGTAAATCCTTTCATCTGTCCTTTTAAAAAAATATGTTTGATTGGCATAAGAAAAGACAAAGTTATACTTTGATAATTTTTCAAACAATTTATTTGCATTTTATTAATAATACAAGAGAATTAGCCTTAGAATTACTCACAGTTCATAAAATATATTAATCGCTTGGATTATTGTTCATCTCTGTCCTCCGTTGTCATGTTCTAACCAATATCCCTCATATCTCTTCTAAGGG